TAGCTTTGTTTTCTTTACGGATGGGAGGAAAAGAATTAGGGGAGGGTCGTTTCATTTCATTTTTGTATCAAGAACGAAGAGGAAGAGGTTCAAGAGATAAGAGAATTAAGGATAGAGATAAGAGAATTAAGGAATTAAGGATACACCTCACACTAACCAGTAAGATTATTGAAGTACTAATTAATGAGCCAATTGAAAAGCTATAATCATGCTTCTCTTCTAATCCTCCATATTATTAAAAAAGTCAGCCACCATTTTGATAAAATGTACCAAGTATAGATTGAAATGTATTCTTCTATATTACTTCCTTCTTTTTTAAGACTTGAGCATGTATGGGATTCAGGGTAGTAGTCTTTTTTTCATTCAGAAATAAGGGGGATAATCGATCATATATATCTAGATCCATATAAATAGACTTCTAGATTTACGACTGAGATACAGTCTAGACTATAATGGTATCAACTTATATGTCAATGTTCTATTCTATTCGGTGGGATGAGATATAAAGAAAATGGAAATTCTCTTTCGGAGAGATGGCCGTGTGGTTGATAGCTCCGGGCTTGAAAACCGGTCTGGTATAGTGTTTGAAATAAAGAACTATCGAGGGTTCGAATCCCTCTCTCTCCTTTTGCTCGGCAAATAGATTCTTTATTTGATTGGGTTTGTTTCCCCGGCTCAATATCATAAAGGGGAATGGCTCGACTAGGTGGGATAGATAGCCCAGCCAAAATAGAAAACAAAGAGTAGATAGAAATGAAGAAAGGAAAAAGGAATTGATCGTTTGAATCTATTCTTTTCATGACCTGAATAGGAAGAATCCTAGAACAAAATGAGAGGTAGCTAACCAACTTCTAGGAGAGACATAATTGACTGCATGAATTTCGGTAGCTACGCCACCCCCGGAATTGAAAGAACCTAAAGGAGCGCATGGGGCATATATTCCGCAGAACGTCGTTCTTGCCAAGGTTGTATATCTTTGCTTGCCTACTCAAGTCCAAACCATTAGGCCCCCTTACTTAGTGGTTCTAACCAAGGAGCACGCGGATCCAAAAAACGCATAGTCTCTCCCTCCCCCCAAAATGACTTCTACCGGCGGAGAACGCATTAGATATTTACCGAAACCAGTAGCAGTAGGTCCTTGATCCAACCTTAGCTCCAAGACGTTGGTCTCTAACTAGAAACGGAAATGCTTGAGCTTGAGAAGTGAGAAGCTTCGGGTCCAGCCGGCCCGTAAAACTCACTCGGATAAGTATTATTGAACCAGACAAAACAACAAGCAATAAAAGCCAAAACGGATAAAGCACCTAAACTATAAGACAAGTAAGCTTCTCCAGACCATACAAGGGCGAGCCCATGCAAACGATTTAGTTAAGATATGCCAAATTCCTTCCCCCAAGTATACAAATGGAACCTAACCATACATGCCCCCCAACCAACTATATCTTTCAAATCGTCCACACTAACAATCCATCCTTCTCTCTCTCTCCCTCAAAAGGTTGAGTAAATAACCAAATATCACAGGCTAAGGGTCAAGTTGGTAATTTTTCTTACATCTCCTCCCCCCGGAGCCCAGGTATCATATACACCTCCAAAATCAGGTAAGGAGCTTTGAATACTAGAAGAAAAGCAAGCACCTATACCTAACAAAATGAAGTGAATACCCCAACCAAATGGTAGCCATTTTCTTTCTATCTATCTTTCCACACATAACCGAAGAAGGGAAAAGATTCTTCAAGGGTCTCGGGTCCCAGAAGTGCATGATACATAGCGCCAAAACCCAATACTGCAGACGGAGGAAATTCAGTGAAGTACTCCAGACGGACACAAAGTACGAAAAGGTGTCTATAACTTCTCCACCATGACCTACGCCCCAACCTAGAGTAGAGTTAGAGTAGCTAGGTGGGGAAGTGAAGTCAAATTCATCCTTGTTCATGCATGGGCTTCTTTCTCAGGTACGAAATGAGCCACTTCGAATAGGTTCATTGCTCCGGCCTAGAATACGATTAATCAGGCATGGGCTAGATGAGCCCCCAGTAGTTTATCGGATAAATGGATAAGTCGGGCATTCCCGGCACACCAAGCGAAACAAACCGGTTCTTGGTCATGACACCAGCTAGAAAGTTCCATTAAATAAAGAAAGAGCCTTTCCCCGGGGTATAGAACCTCCTCAGGGAATAGAAAGTATTTTCATGAGGCTGATCTTGAGCCGCCATCCAAGCACGAATACCTTCGGTAAAGAGAAAATTCTGGGTATAGTAGGGTATAGAAAGTATCAAATTCAGGATCTTCCCTTGCTGCACGGATATCCTGAGAACCGAAGTCATAGGCACGTAGGTTCAAGGCCAGACCAACTGCTCCAAGAGCACTCGGCCATAAAGCAGTTACTGGTACAAATAACAGAAAGAAATGTAACCAACCTTTAGTGGAAAAAGCAACCCAAAGATTTGGTACCAAAAGCGGTTAGCAGTGACCATTGAATAAGTTTCTTCCTTCAGCTTGAGTTGGGTTAAAAGCACGGAATGTATTTGAAGCATCATCACCATCTTCCTTCAAATAAGAGATTTTCTACGGTAGCACCATGAATAGCGCATAGCCGAGCAGCGCCCAATACACCCGCAACCAACTCCCATCATATGAAATGGGTTGAATGTCCAATTATTTCATTCCCGGGAAAAGTAGGATGAATCAAAATATAGCTGCTACACCAAAACTAGGCGCAAAAAACCAACCAGACTGACCTAGTGGATCAATCATCAGGAATACGGAAACAAACAAAGCAATTGAACAGATCGAGCAAGTTCAGACGTACCATGAAACCTATTAGTCCGAACCGTGGAGAGAAACAAAAGTCCACAGACCACCTAATGGTAATGGACATCAAGGAGTCAAATCTATCTCCTTGTGCTTCTGGCCCCATAGTAACAACAAAGAAAGAGTGTGCTAAACTATTAGCAGGAGTCGAAACAGCGGCGGTTAAGAAGTTGCATCCTTCCAAACAAATAGAAACTTGCAAATCCATATGGTTAGGTATACCATTAAGTTACAAAGGGTGTACCTGTAAACCAACCTCCTACGGCAACAAAATAGGCACAAGGAAAGAGCAATAGACCGGACCAACCTACAAGACCGAACCAACCTACAAAACCGAACCGGTCCCTCCATAACGAGTCATCCATAATCTCGAAGAAGAAATTATTTGAGTCTTTGGTCAATTTACCAACGGCTATAGTCATAGTGGATCTTCCTATTCAACTAACGTGAACTATTTTCGAACACCTCATAGCATAGCAAGGGCCTTCGAGTCTATCATTTCTGTCTGATTTCTACTGTCCCTTCTTCTTTCTTTCTTTCTATCTAATGGGTTTTGAATATCTAAATCCTTTTTTGATTGGTCCATAACCTGACCTAGATCAATATTATTCACTCAATACTGTACTGCTGGTAAAGTAAATTCAAGTCTCGTTCTCCTTCTCCTTTCTATTCTTCGTCACATCGTTGGACCATCAAAGAATATGGAAAATCTTTAGCACATAGATTGATCTTATCCTCTATTATCTGATCTTCTCTGTTTGTTTGGAAAGGGCTCATATGTTGTGACTTGGAATAAGGGTTTCTCTGTGGCGAAAGGGAAATAGCCATCCAATTTTCCTATAGAACGTCTACAACCAAGAGGATTGAATCAGAAATCTCGCCGGATTCCTGTATGTGGGCCAAATCAATATGAAAATGCAATCAAAGGGATCCACTGTTCTAATTTCATCCTTATCGGATTTGAACCGATGACTTATGCCTTACCATGGCGTTACTCTACCACTAAGTGAAAAAGGCCGGCCTATTTGATTCAATTTCTGAATAAGCCACTAGCCCCGCCCAATGAGTTGCATGTATATAATTATTAGAAATGAGAAGAAAGAATGTACATAAATGGATCTTATCCACTCGCTCATTCAAGAACCGAAAATGGGATTACTCTGTCTACTAAGTATAGGTAAAATGGTTTATTTATGGATATTGGATTTGATCAATTCATTGTTTCATCATAAGACCGAGCCTAATTCAATTGATGAGCCCCACCCTAACTCAATTCATTTGATTGAGACATGTGCACCCACGAATTGAATATGGATCCATTCACCGAATCATTGAGAAAGCAATTAGACTTGGATGGCGAGAACCCCATTTGAAATAACTTGTTGATCCCTATCCCTCTCTTCCCTACTTAGTTCCTACCTCCTTTTCTTTCCTTTTCTTTGTCTTTCTTGGTTGGCTTAGTGTGAGATCGAAATATACCTACCTAACTTTATCTTACCAATGAGTGAATCAATGAGATTAAGTATGAGAAATTGAGTTTCATCCCATTTATAGCATATGGGAAGCCACCAATAACTTCCGGAAGGAAGGGTACTAGCCTTCCAATTATTTCAATCAATAAAAGAATAATCTAGTTAGAATTCTATGGAATAATGATAGACAGAAAAATCCTTACGAATTGCATCATATGAGTCTATTCTATTTATACTTTTCGAATAGTCTGAGTATGATGGCAGTCGGGCAAGTATGCCCCCATTGTCTAGTGGTTCAGGACATCTCTCTTTCAAGGAGGCAGCGGGGATTCGCCTTCGCCTGGGGGTAGGGTACTCTGAAAGGAAGTGGATCATGGATTATGAATAAGCTTGGAATGGATTCTTCCCAGGTCAATGCGAGAGCGGTTAATGGGGAGGGACTGTAAATGGCAATATGTCTACGCTGGTTTAAATCCAGCTCGGCCCACTAATTCGCGTATCCCACCATAAAATGATATGTTCCATTTGTCCTTCGCCAGAACTGCTGGATATGAAGGAAGGAATATTAACCCCTCCCTCTTTTTTGATTGATTGCCAGATAGATGGATTATCAATCAATTTGACAATAATGACTATGAATCCATGCTCCTCTTACTAAAGTAACTGTCTCCACGCATATCAATCTATTCCTCGCGTCTCTGTCTGGTAAAATATGCCAATTCGAATAAAAAATCTACATGAAAAGATTTGAAGGAAATGAAATCAACAACATGTACACTTGATTTCCCCAGGATTGTAGTTCAATCGGTCAGAGCCCTGTCAAGGCGGAAGCTGGGGGGCCCCGTCAGTTAGTCCCGATGGATCCAAATCCAATAAAAAATAATAGGGCAATTTCCATTTCTTCAACGAGTATTGATTGATGGGAGAAAGCCATATGTGCCATATGCGAATTACCGCAATTATTGGTAGCATCATATTCCCGATTCGAATGAATACAGTATTGGGTCTAGTTGATTGGCTCGATTTAGCTAATGGAATAGAGTACTATACGTTTCCGGGAAGCACATACACAAAATTCTTAGACGATACACAAAAAGAAAGGAGTGACGTCAACTATGATCTAACTTTTAGTCTGAAAGCAAGAAAGAAAAATATATACGTTCCGTTCAGGCTCCGATTTTGTGTAACCTCAATTAGTTAGTCAATTCAATTACTAAACTACTTGGAATTAGAAATAATCTATCTCATTCTAATCTCACACTGAACTTTTGATATATACGTCCCACTACTAATGAAAGGAAAGAACATATTAATACAAACAAGGATCCCCATCTATCTCTCTTAGTGAGGGAATTCATCATTTTAGAAAGTTTCCGTTTCGGATTTCATTCTTTTTTTTTAAGAAGATTTGATCAGTACACAAAAAGGGGTGACGTTCGAACCTACCTCCTTTTCCTTTTTAGAATTTCGCAGTGTGTGTTTGCTTGAGTTTGTTTATAAACTGAGGGTAAAGGTAGTCCGTCTGTCTGCTGAGACTGAATCAACTAATTGCATTGGACAAGAGGGCAGTAGATTATAGAAAAGAAAGAATGCAACAAATGAGAAAGAAAGAAATGACTGAGATGATCTTCCTATCAAAACTGAGATTATGGAAGTCTCTATTCTCGCATTTATTGCTACTGCCCTGTTCATTCTAGTTCCTACCGCCTTTTAATAGACGTAAAAAAAGTCAAAGTGCTGAATTTGAATTCATCTTGCCTTTCTATACGGATAAGTAAGATTTGGATTACCTTGTTGATCGAATATCTCAAGGCAAGAACATTGTTTGAGATTCGAATCACTCCACAAGCAAGATCGATCATGTCTAGCTTGAATGATTCTTGTTGATCAAATATCTCAAAGCAAGAACACTTGCTTGAGATTCGAATCACTCCACAACCAAGATTGATCATGTCGAGCTTGAATGATTCTACATGCAACCTAAACTACATAGAATTGCAAAGAAACTTAGTCATTGGCTAAAGAAGAGCACAAATGCTTCTTTTACTATATTTTCCAAGTCTCTTACAAATACAACATACATGGCTTTATATAGCCTCAAAATGAAACATTCATGCTTACTGGCCTTAATTAACCATTATGTAATTGTAACCTAAAGTAAATTAAAAGTCCTAAAAACTCTAAATTGTAACCCACCCAAAACTTATAACAATCAAACTTCACTCTTCTTCAAATGTGGCATGCATTGTAAATTGTAACCCACCCAAAACTTATAACAATCAAACTTCACTCTTCTTCAAATGTGGCATGCATTGAAACATCTTTTGATAATTTTGACAACCTTTTCTTCACATCGTCATTGAAGTATATTGTATTATTGATGTATGTTGATAAGATAAGAAACCACTACAAGGGAAGTAAGATTTGGATTACCTTGTTGATCGAATATCTCAAGGCAAGAACATTGTTTGAGATTCGAATCACTCCACAAGCAAGATCGATCATGTTTAGCTTGAATGATTCTTGTTGATCAAATATCTCAAGACAAGAACACTTGCTTGAGATTCAAATCACTCCACAAGTTAGATTGATCATGTCGAGCTTGAATGATTCTACATGCAACCTAAACTACATAGAATTGCAAAGAAACTTAGATTTGATCATGTCGAGCTTGGATAATGCAAAGAACTGTCTATGGATTTACTACACTTCATTTGCTTTCTATTCCTACTAATTTCCTTCTAATATTTTTTGTGAGTGAAGCATTTAGATTTGATCAAAACATTTCAAACGGAGGTGACGGAAAGAAGGTGATTTATGGATAATGCAAAGAACTGTTTATGGATTTAGTACACCTCATTTGCTTCATATTCCTACTAATTTTCTTCTAATATTTTTGTGAGTGAAGCATTTAGATTTGATCAAAACATTTCAAAAGGAGGTGACGGAAAGAAGGTGATTTATGGATAATGCAAAGAACTGTTTATGGATTTAGTACACTTCATTTGCTTCATATTCCTACTAATTTTCTTCTAATATTTTTGTAAGTGAAGCATTTAGATTTGATCAAAATATTTCAAAAGGAGGTGACGGAAAGAAGGTGATGATTTTTTCTGATCCGAGGACGAATCTTTCTGAAGAGGGGGAAGATGATAAGAATCAAAACATTTCAAAAGGAGGTGACAGAAAGAAGATGATTTTTTCTTATTCGAGGAAGAATCCTTCTGAAGAGGGGGAAGATGATAAGAATCACGGTGTGCCAAGAAGAAAAATGTCATAAAGATTCAAAAAAGAGATCAATTGATTTTAAGTCTGTTGCATTAACCACTCAAGCACATCAACATTCGTTAGAAAAACTATGTTTAATTTTATAAATTATGTAAAAGTCAAATGGACAATTTGACTTATTCTTTGTGGAGATTAAAGGGGATCGGGAATAAATCCCGTCCACAAACATATCGGGATTGAATCCCGGCCACAAACGTCTTTTGTCGAGAGACTATAAATACCCACAATATGTTATGTAAAAAAACAGATTCGTGGATGAATGTAATTCATATCTCAAATTGAGACGTTTCTCTTAGAAATTCGAGCATCATATTTTTCATTTCTAAGTTTCAAGCAATTCTTCTGGTAGAATTGCACCCGAGCCATTCAATCAAGCCTTGATCAAGTTAGATTGTGGAGTGACTCAATTTAGAACAAGGTTTCAAATCTTACTTCTAGATCTTCGATCGTAAGAGGTAATCTAATTCTAGCCTTATCTCTTGGTTGATCCAAATTTCGCATAAGGAGGTGTTAATTACTTTGATTCAAGGGTTCTTGCTAAAATAAAAGCTTGGATCGTTGGGCTGAGGATTAGGTTGCCTTATTACTAGAGGCTCGAGCATACGTTGCTTGGCGTTGGAAAGTGAGTAACGCACAATCGCAAGTTCGCTGCCATCAAAAGTGCAATTGTGAACGGGGCATGCCTCACCAGCCGAAATGCGCCATGTGTCCAACACCGATTCTGTTGCGCTCCTCCGTACGCCGGCCGACGCTTGGCGGCGTTCTTCTCTTCCTCCTGCGTTTTTTCCAAATTTCGAGAAACGTGAGTTTTTAGCGTTCTCAATCCATTTTCTTTCGATTTTTAAATCTTCCAATTCATAATCCGAATCGCTTCACGAATATTGTAGAACTCATATTCTATTTCTCCCATATATGCTTCTTATATTGTTTTGGTAATCACACGTCTTATTATTCGAGTTCGAATTTGTAGAAAAATACGAGTTCTTACCGAAAATAGTGTTTTCTTGAAACATCGATTCGAACGGAAATCTCGACCACTTTCACTCCAAAACTTACGAAAATCACACTCTTGAGGGTAAAAGTACAAGAATCACTCAAAAATGTCACTAGCACACCAAAATTTCGATAAACATCTTGATCTAGACATTCGCGGACTAATCTTAAGTTCTTAGACGTTTTTTACGAAATAGGGAGGTGTGATTCGTGAAAGCACCTTGCCTTGGACTACTGAAGGTTTAGGTTGAGGATTCTCAGATCTTCGGTGTCGATTTTTTATCAGATTCTTCTCCTCCAACCTCAAAACCCTAATCTCCTTTCTCAGATCTTCGACATCGATTCCATCATTGTGCCTAAATTTTGGAAATCGTAAAAGGTCTCTTGAATTATAGTAAATTTAATTATATTATTTCACCACTTAAATAAAAATAATTAATAATTAATGTCTAATTTTACCTTAAAATTTGTTACGGAAAATTACTAAAAAGAAATCAAAGAATATTGACTAAAGTAGAATATAGTTGTGCATATATTAATAAATGCTTTCCAAATTTTATGAATAAAACAAACTTAACGTCACCTCAAAAGTGTTACGAGGAAAGTAATAATAGTTATAAAATAACGTATTGTTTTCAGGCCCAAAAAATCTCAACCAGCTTTGGTGCAATCAGTGGGCTTAAACGACACGGTCATATTGTCAATATCATACCCAACCAAAAAATTTGCCATCATACTGTTCCCGATGAGTGCGTCCTTGTGGTCAACACCCATCGCGGTGAAGCAAAAGGACCCATCCGGCATCTTATTGAAAGTCTGAACCGTACTCAATCGCAGATCCACGCCGTCGTCGAAGTGCAAAGTCATCACCAAATCCCCCAAATTATCTTTGTAGCAAAGAGTATCATCGTCAATGGGCTTCGACGGGATATGCCGCCGAACTTCAGCAGCCAATCGTCCGTACAATTCTTTGGGGAGGAGAGTCGGCGGCGTGCCGGTATCGAGAACCGCATTCCCCTTGGCCGGAGGTCCCGACGTACTGTACGGAACGAGGGTTTTTCTGACGGAGATTCCCGTGAGGGTGAGAGAGTAAGATGTCTGGTCGGATGTTCGAACGAGTTGGGCTGTGATGACTCCGGGTCCTTTAACTTCAGAACCCGACCCGATAGAGAGGCTACTTGAGATTCTCGGGTCGGTGTTGTATGGCATCAGACAAAGGGAGAACTTTCTACCGCCGACCGATGGACCTATCTGTGAATATGAAGTTACATTAACTATAAGGTTTTTTACTTTATAGTTATTTAAATAAGATGCTAATAATGTTTTAAAAAATATTAATAATAATTGAAATTGATAATATATATATACTTGAGAAACGAAGGAAATCGCTCCTCTTCCAAATCCGATCAATCCCATTTCATTGGCATTAAACGTTCCACTATTATTATGTCCGCAACCAAACACCACCCCAGGAAACGGCGTCGTCGCTCCAGACCTCGAAGTTACAGCCATTTTTTCACTCGCCAATTCTCCCTGCGTAGATCCGCTTCCATACCCATAGCTGTACTTACACGTGTCGGTGCCGGAGCACGCCGCACCAGATCCCCTCAAATGGCACTGCGGCAACTTGCAAGAAAGGGTTCGAAAGGTTGACGATTTTGAAGGGTCGTAAATCGGATTCGTTTGCTGGTAACATTTCGCACATGGACGACACTGAGCCCAAAATAAATCGCTGCCAGTGTCGAGGATTGCATGCACCTCTGTCGGCGGCGTTCCGATGGCGATTTTCACTATAAATTCGCTGGTTTCCGGCCAAATTTGTGATTTGGCTGCCATCGGCGAAACGTTGCCGGGTGAGAGACGGCGGCGAATGAGTTCCAGCTTGAGACCACCGCCTTTGCCGGCGGTGGACTCGGCGATGGAAAGTAGTGTGAGAAGGAGAAATATAGTAGGCGCCATGGGATTGCATGGATTTTAAATTTCTTTGTTTTATTTATACGCGTGAGAGAGATAATGACGTGGAAATTGAAATTATTACGTAGAACTAGGAAAGGATGGTAGTGTTTTTGGTAAAGCTCACTGTTTTTTTAATATAAAAATAGAATGTTATTTAAGTATTTATTTAGTTATTTCTATTTACTCAGATCGTATTAAATTTTCATATTTCCAACCCTGTATTAAATTTAGTTTTAATCTAAATAAGGTAAAAAAATATATTTAAATATGAGTATATTTCTTATTTTATTTTAATAATCTATCTTTGAATTAAATAAAACCATGTAAACTTTTAAAATTAAGTAATTTTTTTTTAATTTTTTAAAAAAGCAGTATTTCGATTATTAAAAATAAAATCTTTTATTTAATTTAACTAATTAAATAAATTTAATGTATTTCTGGATGATTAATTAACCATTTATAATCACGTACATTTA